ACAAAAGCGATTTCAGTTATCATATAAAAATTTAAGATTATCGTTAATTTCATTATGATCCAATGACCGCATCTAAAGCAAATTAGTATGGGACCACCGCTGAGGTACCATGGTCCAAAGTGATGTGGTAACATACATAAAAAAAAAATCCGACGAATTGATAACCTCCTCCTATTTTTGAAGTCAAAATTGGTTATGAATTAATAATTAAATTTAGAATAAGGAGGCTCGACTTTTTGTTCATAATTGCCAGTAGAATACGCCGGTCACCGCAACAAAGTTGAGAAAAAATTCGACCCGCCCTTATGTACATATATATGCATGTATCATCTGCATACTCTTACTAGAATATGCACACTTTCGGATAGCTACACTGCCTTATAAATAGGCTTCTGTTTGCCCTGACTTGATTGAAAATTTTACTTTGTTGGATGTAGGAGAGGTATGTAACTAAGCTCAGTGTTGGTGATCATTTGCTGCCATGTGAGTTTCTCCATCTGTTTGTTTGTATGTATGCAAATACGACCACCGACACATATGTATGTAATTGTGATAGCCTGCAATCAAAGGAGCTGATGTTGCATGCATTCTTTGCGGTAGAAATTGCTACAAACATACATACATACATATGTTTGTAGAGTACAAGTAAATAGACATTGGCTACTATGTACATATATACATACATATGTATGTAAGTGGAGACCAAACTTTAACTGTAAATAAAGTTGACAGAATTGCTGCCAATATAAGATAAACGCCAGCCACTTTTCCAACTACTTGTGTGGCATAGTAAGCATTCAGGCAAGTAGTATCTGACTACTTCATAGGCAAATCAACTCTTTATTGGTAATTTTACAACTTTTAAGCTTGATTGGGTGCTGTGGCAACGAAAAGCCGTATTTACATATGTACGTACATATGCCAGTATGCACGAGTACGTATTTATTTATATCAGAAAGTATATGTAGGTGTTACTTTGTGGTCACTTCTATACCACAAATGCTGTTTAATGCTATTCGACAGACAAATGCGAAAGATGTGCTGTTGTAGACAAAATGCAATGATGATTTTTGCAGACTGTCAAATTTTGCTTACACTATGTACATAAATATGTTTGTATTTTTCAAGTAGATGGCTGTTTTTGTCGCCCACCCTAATCAACTAAGTGCTGTTAACTTTGCATTGAAAGAAATTTACTAGATTTTAAAATAAGTCACGTACGATTGGCGGTTACTTGTTATTTTGGACATGGACAATTTTCGGCTCACACAAAAGTGAATGTGTTGCTTAAAATGCATTGGTTTTTGAGTAAGCACACAATAATGGATGTTATGAGCTTTGGGATAACTTTGCCATCTTTATTATATATATTTTGAAATTGCATTGTGTGCACAGTTTTGCCGAAAATGAGGAAGAAGTACTGCAATGATGTGATGGTATGTAGAAAGGCTTTTTGGGTATGCAGCTACAATTTTTCTATACACTATTCCCACTCGTACGTATATCACAGAATTCTGCGCAAAAAGCTGGAACTTTATTTTGGATTCAGCATTGATGACTATGGCTTTAGTTTCAATAGCATGTGCCAGCATTATCTTCCGTGTGCAGGTCAAGCACTCGTCTAAGGGTTTTGTTGGTAACCCCCTCCCTCCCCCCCCCCGTAGTTCGTTTGGGTGACACCCGCTAGCCAGTTTTCATACTTCATTACATACTTAAAAGTACAACGATTTTCTGCCTGCCAATTTTTCCTCCATATTCTTCTTTGATGTGTATTTTACTCCTTAACTCTTTCATAATAGGCGCAACGAAATCCCTTTTAGTTATTACAATTTTAAAGCTAGTTTATCCCACTAGAAAATAGGTTTTTAATTATATTTAAAAATATTATGCACTGCTAATTAAAGCTACACAGAATAAATTTTTCTTTAAAGTCCAAAAAGGACTGTTTTTAAACACTGATCATTAAACGCTTCCCTACTAGAGTTATATTAAGGGCTTGAACTCAGGTCTTGCGGAGTGGATGCGCGCACTGCTCACGGGCTTACTAGAGTTCCTTAAAAGGAAGAAAGGTCTGCAAAATTACAAAAAAAAAAACAAAAAAAAAATAAGTTGAATTTTTGAAAACCATAAAAATTAAAACTCTGCAAACTTTCTTTTTCCTTCTAAGGAACTCTAAGACCATTGAAGCTATTTATGTTGTGTATTGGGGGGCTTTGAGGGAAATGTGAACAAAAATCTAAATTTTTTTGATTTTCTGGCCGCCATATTGACGTTTGATCAAACTGCTTACGTTGTGTATGATAAAGTCGCCTCATTCGCAACAGAATTTTTATCGAATGCGGACGCAAGAGAGAAAAATCGCAGAAAACCAAAACCTTTTACATTGCGAACCGGAAAAAAAACTAAAATTCTTTGCTTGAACGAGTCCTGTTTGCATGGCGAAATGGGCGAAATGGGAAAAGTAGGTTTGAAGAATGTTTGACAAGCCGCTTGTGTAGCGTATTTCGCTCTTTATAAAACTTCGGAAAGCTTTTTGTTCAAAAATTTGCAATTGTGTAAAACATGATTGCATTTGTTATCTGCAAATATATCGAGAGAAAATTGTTCAAAAATTCCTCAAAATAAAAATTCTCAAAAAATACTCAAGCGCACCAGAAATTCCTCACGTTCTGAGAAATTACTCACCAAGTCGTTGCGACGTTGGTCTGGTGAAGTCCTTTGGGTGAACTCGAAACGAATCCATTTCTTCGAACTCACAAGTGTTTTGAGCAACTTTCGGTCTGGGTTAGACAAGTTCCACGCCCACATTATTATATATCTATATATATAAAAATGAAATGTTTTTCGTATGACCGCGATGCCTGACCAAACGGCTGAACCGCTTTTGCTGAACCGCTGTGTGGAAGGTTTTTCGATTTAAAAAAATTGAAACTTTTTGTTGTTGTTGCCGAATGCTGAGACGTGACGATTTCACAATTTCATAGAGTTTTCCGTATAATGAATGCCACCAAACTACTAAGCGGCTGGACCGATTTCGTTCACATTTGGAACATATGTCAGCACCTTAATGGGAAATATTTCGACTAAAAAATGTTAACGCTAGGTGGCGTTGGGGTCGGGATTCCTAAAATTCTTATACACTGGGATAATGATAGATATCTACTATATATCTGAAGAAGTATGTATGTATGTACATATGTATGTATGTATGTGCCAGTTTGCAGCCTAAACGGATGGACAGAATCATATTAAATTTTGGCAGAGTATTGCCATGACACCTAGGCTTATGACAGGAAGAAAAAAACTGGGATTCGACAAGGGGGCGTGGCACTCCCATAGGCGTGAAATATTTATTNCGGATGGACAGAATCATATTAAATTTTGGCAGAGTATTGCCATGACACCTGGTCTTATAACAGGAAGGAAAAAACTGGGATTCGACAAGGGCACTCCCATAGGCGTGAAATTTTTCATCAGCTGTAACTTCGGGACCATAAGTCACATCAACTTCCAATTTGGTATGCAGACATATCTATGGTAGGTGCTTATAGTGGGCTATATATACATGAGTTTGTAAAAATGGGCGTGGCACATCCCGTAGGCGTTAAAATTTTTATCACCTATAACTTCGGAAACATGGGTCATATGAACTTGAAATTTGATATGCAGACCTATCTATGGTAGGTGATTATAGAAAGGAATATATAAATGGGTTTGGAAAAGGGGGCGTGGCTCTCCCCATAGGCTTGGCAATTTTTATCAGCTATAAGTTTGATACTATAAGTCACATGCACTTGAAATTTGGTACACAGACATATCTATGGTAGGTGCTTATGTATGGTAAGGTATCCTTACTAATATTATAAATTTGAAAGTGAGTTTGCTTATTTGTTACGTTTTCAAAATGGACGTCAGACAAGCGGGATTTAATAGGGTTTTTGTAAGAAAATAATTTGAAAAGGGTTGCCACCTATTTTAAAACTTAGCTTAAATTAGAAATGTTCAGCTTAAACATGTAAAGTTTTCCAAGGTCTTTGAAGAGGGTTACCATCTGTTATAAATCTAAATTCAAATAAGTTTAATGTATATAAGTTTAATGAGTTATTACAATCTATGTATTAATCGGAAGAGTCTTGAAAAGGCTTTCTTTCTAAGCAACATATGAATAGCAGGCTCTCCGCATGTTTGAAAATTTTAATTCAACTTGGATTATATGGATTAACGGTATAAAAAGTAAAATTCAAAATTTACAATCATTTCAATGAATTATTATAATATGGGTATCAATCGAAATGATTTTGAAATGGCTTGATTTCTTAACTACATATACATAAGTATGAAAAAGTATCACAAAAGATAGGTTTAAGTTATTTTTAGTATGAAAATATTTTGAAGATATTAAAAAAATTTAAATCGCCTGATTTTCTCATATTTTAAGTATGTTGTGTTTAATTAAAATAAATTACATCTAATGTAGCACGTAGAAATTTCATACACTCAGCGAAACGGGTTAGAGCGAGAGAACCGAGTACGGCAACGCTTTCTGGTAAATTCCTGTAAATTCTTGCAACTTCTTGCGAGTTAGGGAACGCAACTATTAATAATGGAAAAGGATTTGTAGTACAGAAAGTGATGATCAGCATATATTAGTTGAAGTACGATAAAGCTTAAAGTATGGCTCATAAGGATGCCTTAATTTAAACAGAAAGAAACTGTATGCTGAATTACTGTTTACCCGAACGACGTCGGAATCCACAATGTTCACTTGTACTGAGAAAATTAAGTCGACTACATCTTTTTTTCAGTATTCATATTTTTTTTTATTATTATTTTTTTTTTATAAAGGTAAAGTTTACTCTATTGGCCTTATTAATAAGAAATAAAATGTGTGGGTATGAAGTTCTTTTAAATTTGGTATCAAAATGTACTTTTGCTTTAAATTTGTTATACATTTTGAGCATCGGTTTGCCGTTCGCTGGCGAGTCGTTAGCGAATCATCTTCAAGGGCACCAAGGACCGTAAAGATCTTTTTCAAACCTTTCTTTGTCCTCCCTCCGGTTGCGAATTTCCGAATTCAATTTATCCACCAGAATCTTGTGCTCGTTCTCATGGCGTATTTGGAATGCACCAATTATCGCGTCATAACTATTTATATCAACATCGGGAATAGTCAGCAAAAATTCCGCCGCAGAACCTTTCAAACTTAAAGTCAACATATCGACTTTGTCTTCCACGCTCCAGTTATTTACTTTTGCCGTCTTTTCAAATCGTAGCTTAAATACCCCGAAAGAAGTCGTGCCGTCAAAAGTTGGGGTTTCCACCTTGGGAGAATTCGCTGAAGTAATCGAACGATTCAACTGTAATTGACGAATAAGATCTTTTAATTCATCCAATTCGGTCTTGGTTTTATTCTCTCTTTGTTCGATTCCATTCTGGTTTTCTTCGCGTTTATCCTCTTTCTCTTTTACCTTGTGCTTTTCTTCGATTTCATCCTTCCCATACTTATCATTTGCTCCGCTACTAATATTATAAATTTCTTTGAATTTGTCTTTGTCGGCTTCTTCGATATTATCCTGTCTCTCTTCGAATTTATCTTTCTTTTCTTTATCGTTTTTTTCGATGCTATCCTGGTTCTTTTCGATTTTCTCTTTATCCTTTTCTTTGATATTATCCTGTCTGTGTTCGATTTTCTCCTTATCTATTTCTTTGACTTTATCTTGTTTCGCTTCGATTTTTTCCTTATCGGGTTCTTCGATGTTGTCCTGTTTCCCTTCGATTTGATCCCTCTTTTCGTCATGCTTTTCTTCGATGTTATCCTGCCTTTCCTCGATATTCTTTTTATCTTTTTCTTCTATTTTATCCTGCCTAATATTGAGTTGCGCACTACCTCGCACTAAATTATCCAGAAGCTGTGTAATCTTTGCATCCATCGCTGATGAGTTCAATGGCAACTGGAATATACTACGTGCTTCCTGAGCTTGTATCCACGATGTTATACGCGCTTCCTGAGCTTGCAGCTGGGATGAAATCTGGGCCATTTGCGATGTCATTGCAGCCATTAAGATGCTCAGATCCATACCAGTAGATGACAAAGTAGGCTTCTCATTTTCCTCAACCTTCAGAGAACTAGTTGAAGTAACTAATGGACGATATAACTGCAGTTCATGGACAGTACGTTTCAACTCAGCGTATAACTCAGCCTCGATTTTATGCTTTGTCTCCTTATAGTTTTCTTCGATTTTATTTTGTATTTCTTTGAGCTGTGATGAAAACTGCAATATACGTGATTCCTGTGCTTCCAACCGTGGCGTTATACGTGCTTCTTGCGCTTGTAGCTGGAACGAAATCTGTGCTATCTGCGATGTCATTGCAGCCATTAAGATGCTCAGATCCACACTCTGAGATGCAACCATGATTGTGATTCCGTTTTGATTTGGAACTTTGATAAACCTAGCTTGTGCTCAATTCTCTTTCCGGCAGGCTGTATTGTTTATTCGTGGAACTTTTCGATGTTTTTTACTTAATTATCCTTGGGTACGATCTGTGGATAAAACACGCAGAATTGCTTTATTGCTCGTCAATTATTTTAGTGATCAATACTTGTTTCACTTTGAACTTCACTCGATTGCTCGCTATTTAAAACTGACTCCGTCTTCATGGTTGTATCGCTTTTATATACCTGTTGCGGCAAGAACAAATGGTTTACTTATTCCATTTGAAATCTTTCGTTGGCCAACGCTGCTAGCTTTTCAAAAATGTTTTAATGCGAAACAACAATAAAGTTAACAAGCAGAGAAGAACACAAACGCGCATTTTTATACATAACTCCTTTTCACATCTACCTGCATAGGTAGGTAGGTATGTATTTATAATGGAAAGAGTCGCATTAAAATATCCCTTTTCGATACGCCATGTCTCTGCTCGCTTGAGTTCATCGCTGCTAGCTTAAGGTGAAACAACAATAAAGTTAGCAGGCAGAGAAGAAACACAGGCGCGCATTGTTATACATACTCGTAAGTACTCAGCTCGTTAGGGGTTGTTTATTTCAAGGCTTTGGATTTAAGGCAAATGCTGTTCAATTCGCAACTTGCTCTATGCTTGGCGAATATCGCCGTCTCTTTTATACATTCATTAGCAATTACAACTGATTTTGTTGTGTAAATCCTGACGACTTTGTTTATGTATGGCTGCGTGTATCCTTTAGCCCTACAAAAATCGTTGGAACACGACGTTGGTCCTCTGTAATGCAGTATGAGATTGACTCGTGTCTCTGGTGTACCCCATATTAGATCATGTTTTAACGATCGTAATCCCTAAGATATAGGGTACTCCATGGAGTAATCAATTGGAGCAATTTTTTTGCTGCTCTGCAGAGCTGGTATATTTGATTCTGCCCTAGGACATAGCAACGTTGGTTGGACCACATTTCTTATATGCATTTCGGTTAAATTTTAATGTAGCCTTGACCTTAAGGGGTACTCTTAACATGCGTGATTTTTGCAGGGAATGGAGTAAAGCGACATTCAGAATGGATCAATAAAAAAAAAATTGCAGTCAAATATTGTGTTTGAAAAGATACTATAGAATGCATTGGATTTTGACCCCTTTCGATGAAAGGATTGCGTTCACTGTAGGATTGAAGTTTTCAACTAATGTGAAACGGACGTTTTATGTCAAATTCTATATTTGCACATTTAACGATTTTGTGCTAAAAATTTATTTTTTTAGACTTTGAATGCTTTTTTTATGGTATTTTCGAGGTGTCAGCAATTGGTGCTAATAATTTTATCATATTTTATTATTTTTATAATTTTCTGCAATCATGAGAAATATATATTTTTGTACAAGAATTCTAGGTATAGTTGGTGTACCACAATAACCACTGTCAATGGCACTTCTTTTTGAAACCTTCTACTACATTCAAAAATTTGATTGAACTTGTTACTAATTTTTTCTAAAATAAAATAAAAACAAACAAAACTATATAACAAATGACTAAGTGACCTAAGTGACTTGAGTCAAGGTGCAGTAGGTTCTACCACCTTTTGTTTCTTAGCTACAGCTTCTAACGGATTTTTTGACGCTTTGACCTCATTTTTTTTCAAAATCTGGCGTTGATGGAAACTTTATGTTTACGGACTCATAAATAGTCAGCACAAAAATTCTTTCAAAAACAGCTTTAACATTTGCCGTATCAAAATTTTTTTTCTGTTTTTGTTGGGCTATGTTATCCATCAAAAATGTGTAAAAATTCATATTTCCGTTTTTTCTTTATGTGGTCCGTAATACTCTTCGCTTCCCTATTTAGTTATAGTTCTGCAAAATCATTCGATGAATATCATTATGCATATGCTGGCATGGGCAGAGAACGAGCACACAAAGGGCTAGCTTTTCTCACCACCAGCGTTGCCATTTTAGCTCTTTTGCGGCTAGATTTAACCGGTTTTGATAGCAACTAGCCGGAGAAAATTCGATCTAGCCGGCAGCCGATTTGTTAGCCGGTTTGTAAAAAAAAGCTAGCCGTTTTTAGCCGATTTTACTATTTGCCTAATTTTCAGGTGCAAAAAGTAAACAAGTTGTTCGAAAACAATAATGCACACCCAATGAAGATTTTTAATGAACTCAATGTTTTACTTTCGCATCTATGCTCCCCGTTGGAACCATACCTTGTTCCATTTCCTCAGTTTTATCACAGTTTTGAAGAGTATTTAAAAACAAAAGTAAGCACAAACGCTTTTAACCACGAAGCCGAGAAAATAATTCGAGAAAATGGTCGCTATTTTATTATCACTTTAATAAAGGAATTACGCCAACGCCTCCCTACAAATATTGCCACACTAAAAAAAATTGACTTTTTTCGGTTGGAAATGCATTAAGAGTAATTAAACCAAAAGTATTTGTTCAACTACAACAACAAACACACAAATATAATGCCGACGAAATAACATCCATAGAGATGCAATGGCAACGGTTAACGTTACATACCTGGAGTAATTTAGACTCAACTGTAAAATTTTGGGCCGAAGTTTATCAATTTCGAAATGCCCTAGGAGAAAACCCTTTTGCTGACCTTTCCAACCTAGTTTTTAGTTTTCTTGTTTTGCCTATAAGTAATGCAGAAGTAGAGCGAATATTTAGTTCAATGAATATAATAAAAACTAAGCAAAGAAATCCAATGTGCGTTAAAACGTTAAACGCTATTTTATATATAAGATACGGTTTAAAACGTGAAGAAAAATGCTGCCATAATTTTACTGTAGATGACGATCTCTTAAAATTAATGAATTCAGGTGATATATACAATAGTGATTCATTTGATGATGAGGAATATACACTCGATATAAATTAATGGTGTTAACTAGTCTTTCGTTTCTTGCGATTTATTTAAATAAAGCATGTGGATTTTCACTAAAACATTTTAGCCGTTTTTTGCCAGAGTCTATGTGAAATTTCACTAAAACATTTTAGTCGTTTTTAGCCGCTATTTTTTGCCAATCTAGCCGGTCGGCCCAAAAAGTTCTGGCAACACTGCTCACCACACGTGGCATTCGCAGAATTGTCAGGTTTGTCCGTGGAAGTGCTTTCTCTTCACGAAGTCGCTCATACTTTTCTCTCGCCTTCTCTCTTGCCGTCAGGGGTGTGAGCCCGCGCTCCTGCAGTCCGCGCTCCTACAGTTTCTTTTCTTACTCTTCCGCTGCTTATCTTCGGCAATGGTGAGACCTTGGGGCGCCTTCACTCCTTCGTCTGCCTGCAGACCTTCAGGATCATCCTATAGCAGACAGAGCTGATTCAGCGGCAGGTAGTCCACCTAGTTGCGGTCATTCTTATCCGAGGTGTACAGCGATGCGGAGATACAGCGTTGTCTCTCCAAGGGTTTTTATATCAGTAAGACGCTGGTTATTCAACGAGGATTTTAGAACTCTATATTGGCAGGTACTGAGGGCGGCGCTGTTCCGACGCTACTTGGAGCATTTTACACCTACTTCCACGTACAAAGGACCAGCCACCCAATAAGGGTCAGACCCAGACCCGTTTCGAAAATATACGCTATGGATTTTTGTGGCGTAAATTCGGGGCGCTATGTTAACGCACGCAAAGCATTCACATATAGATTGAGCTGTAGATACGATTCTATTTGTAAGGAAAGAATTTTGCAAATTTGAAATATTTTATTTTTTCAAAAAGAGCAACTCTAATATGCCTTCCACAAACTTTCAACCATTTTAAAGTAGCATCGTGAAAACATACTCACGAATAACCTACTTTTCCCTTTAATCCTACTCCTACTGGCTCCAAATTTATATGATTTATTAAAATACATATATCTTTTTCGTCTCTTCCTTAATCACACTGTGTGAATGCAGCGCTTAAATGTTTACGTATGCGAATTGTAATTTTAATATTACTGGCTGGCGTTCATCCAAGCAATAACTTTCCCACTTGCCGATTACGCGAAATGGTTGGCATTCATTCGTAGCAAGCGCGCGATACGCTGGCATGGGCGCGTTCACACAAATTGCTTGCTTGCCAAATGCATGCAACTACACACACACACCCACACACACAAGCTTACTTGTATGCATAAACACATAGCATACTTGTAGGCGCATAAAAATGGCGGTGTCTGATTTCCAAGTGAATCTTCACTTTTTAGCGCTTCACTTGCCGCCCTGTTCGAATGCCCTTCCAAATGCCAGTGGCGGGTATGCCTGGCTGGCTGGCGCGGCTGCTCCTTTGATTTGGCGCGCGCTGTTGCATGAATGGGTGGCATTTTTTTCCCTCTCTTTTTGCTTTGCCTACCATGCTGCGCTTCACACCCTATTGCGCCTTCAGTGTGTGAACCAGCCGCCAATGACGTTGGCCTTTAAGCCCAGTTTGCTCTACTAGATTTGCAACTTAACGTAAATTTGCTTTGCAAAAGGCTTCCAGAGATCGAGAGAATAGTAAAAGATATGCATTTTTTTTCTCAAATTTTTTCGCAATCCGCACAGCTGCTACGCTTAGGCGAGCGGCGCACACCTCGGCGACCTCCCCGCTCGGTCAGGCATTCTATTTTTGCGCTCTTTAGCATATTCTTTGAATATTTTACGGCCGAGCGCATAAGCAGTTGGAGACACACACACACACACACTCACATACATGCCTCTACAAATATATATGTATTTATGTAAAAGTACGGTCATACTCGTATTGATACTACAGCTGGCAAAAGCGCGCGTTGGATCGCTTCTTTTTTTGTTTCCTTAGCAACACTTTCACATTTGTTGCTGTTGGTTTTATTGTTGTTGGCGAAAATTTATTTCTTAACTGATTGCTGTGAAGTTGTAAATCCTATTAAAAAGTGATTTGTTTCGCTGTGATTTGGCAGCAGGCAGGCTGTTTGCGCGCAGCTGGTAGATATCTTCACCGCTGA